TTACCGGACAGTGAAGCCGAAGGAATTGAAAAGGAGACCACGGGCAGTTCAGCACTAGGGGCTGAACGTACCAAGAATGTTATCGGCTTAACCCGGGGGCGGTTCAGTACGAGCGTCGGAACGAAAACCTTACCGGACAGTTAAGCCAAAGACCCAAAATAACACTGTGTACACAGTATGGAGTTTTGAACCCCAAGGGGCAGCTCAGCACGAGGGGCGGAACTACCCGAACAGTGGAGGCCTAACCCCGGGGCGGTTCAGAACGAGGGTCTGATCGAAAACTTGACCGGACGGTTAAGCACTCGCAAAAAGAAGAGAAATGTACTCAGCGTTAATGAGCGTAGCCTTGGTCGATTGAGGTTAGGTATGAGTCGCATGATGGCTGTTAGTATCAAGTGGAGTTCGTAATGTAATGTGTTTACTCATACCTTATAGCAGTAGTTTTGGGTGAACTGAAATACTGTACCGATGTAGTTCGTCGTCCCTTGTAGCAGTAATTTTGGGTAAAATGGAATACTGTACCGATGTAGTGTTCGTGTGATGCTGGCACAAAACGGAATGAGATGAGTTCGTGAAAAATGTTAGTTGGTACCCAATCATTCATCCTCACGAGGGGAGTCCGTAGTGTTGGCTGGCACCCTAGTAGTTTGTCGTCGCGAGGGGGCTCGTGGCTCCATACCTAACGGTGACTTCGTGAGTCATTTAGTGGCCTGATAGTGTCAAAAATTGGTTCGGTGTTTCTTCAAGGATTTCATGCTTATAGTAATTGTTTGCTTATTTGGATTTGAGAAAGAAATGATTATTAAATTAATGATTATGTTAAGGTTTTAACAAATGCAGTGCTCGTTGGATTGCTAGGACACAGCAAAACATAAGTTAAAATAAAAACATTGCATGCAATATAATATTACTAGCGACCCGCCCCGGCTTCGCACGGAAGTAAAAACCGCATCAAAATCCGTTGCGTAGTTTCAAAGATTTAGGCATACAAAGGGACCGAAAAAAGCGACTTTACTTTATACTATGTAGTGATGATATTCATACATCGGAGAAAACAAACATTCTGTGCTGAGTAGCGCAAGTCAGATATACCTAAGTTACTTACTCAAGTACGAGGGGATCTCCTAATGACAGGAAACATCATGGCAACAATATGCATTTGGGATGTAAATATCAAACGCAAGCATATAAAAATTATGGATATTATTATACGACAATGTGCCTGCAGCATGAACCCCGCAGGTAAAAGCAATATATGCGCGAAGCGGCCCGCCAATAACACACGACCTCGTGCGCGAATCACAACTAAACTAAGACGTGACAACGTGCATCGTAAGGGGTGGCAACGACGACCCACAGGCATTCGATAAGAAAGTGTAAATTGTGCTCAAAACAAATACACTTCTCGTATCGAATGCCATCGTATGCTGATAAATATAGAAATAAAGAACACAATTCTATTTTATGATTTTTAGTTCAGGCGAGTGCCATCTAGGTATGCTACAGATAGTTGTCCGGCCATTAAAATTAGTAAAACTAATCAAAAATTAAAATTCGAGTTGTGTAATTCTAATTTCTCATGGTGACAGATTTTCGTGGGGTAAAAGGACAAAAACGTGACTAAAAGTGCTAAAAGTGCAATTTTTCTTTTTCACCCAATTCATTCAATATAGAATATCTCGTAAACTAAAAGCGTTGGAAAGGAACGGATTGAAAATTATTAATCTACGAGTAATTCTCTATAAGACAGTATTAAAATATTGCAAGATGTGCTTCAGCAAAGCAAACAAGGTCGCAACAATTCATGATAAGACTACCTACGCGATTTGCAATAGACACAATACCTGCCATCTAAACTAAACTAGAATATGCTGCATGCAGCAAGTTGATGCGGCGTGAGAAGACGGCGCGCAGGACACATGCGATATAAAGTTGTTTATATCGAATCGCTGATACAAAATGTATACACTGTATACAAAATTATTCTCGTGGCCACGTTTGTCGATAAATATAAAAATAACTCGATTTTATGATTTATAGTACATCCTAGTGCCATCTATGAATGCTACAGATAGTAGTCCCGGAATTTAGATTAATAAAATTAATAAAACAATTAAATTCAAATCATGAAATTATTATTTCTTATGCTAAAAGATTGATCGATTTTACATCAAATATTTAAGTGATATTTAATTTGACCATGTATTGCTATACTATTTAGGTTTATATTTTTGCAATGAACAATTCCAACTGAATCCTAAAGATAATTTATACTCAAATAAAAGGCTCGCATTTGACCAAATTACGGGTAAACTATGAGTCCAACGGTTTTATAGCAACATGCAAAATAAAACTTCCAATTTTCAAATTTCATTTTCTGTGGAAAATGTGACCTCACTCTTGATGAAATTGCAGGAAAACTACAAGTCAAGTGTAAAATTTTATTAAAATAAAATGCTCAGGAAACCTTCTATAACAACTTTTCTGTGGAAAATGTGTGTTTTTACATTTTATTAAATTGCGGAAAAACTATTAGTTCAAGAGTAAAATTTTACTAAAATAAAATGCTAGAAAGACTTTATGGTAACATTCAAAATAAAAACTTCAAATTTTCAAATTTAATTTTTCTCCGGAAAATGTAAGTTCGCATTTGGGCAAATTAAGAATTTAATTAATTAATAATTTAATTTAAAGCTGGGAGTACTAGAGTAAAATTTTACTATGATAAAGTGTTCAGAGCGACGTTTTTTTTCATTAAACGTAATTGCAGGAAGACCGTAAAATTGAAAAATAGATACTATGAACGATGCAAAATTTCACTCACCAGTGTATCCATAAATCTAATGCAGTAGATACTGAAATAAACAAGAAACAAAACATTAGATATACAATTTCGGACAATGTTGAAATGAATCCGAGTTCGGAGGAACCAAACTTTACCTTAAAATTGTTAGAGTCCGACCGAAAGTGAATTTTAGCCGAAACCGAAACCGAAACCGAAATTTCGGCCCTGCAATCAGTTTCGGCCGAAACCGAAACCAGAAACCGAAACTAATTTACATAAACATATTTTTCTACTTTTACCTACACATCGCCAGTTTTCCACGTTTTTAGATACATAATCTATTTCGGGAGTAAAATCCTCGTTTAGTCACTTGATACTTAATGTAGTATTAATATGAGCGAACTAAGATGGCAAGTAACGACCGCCATTAGCCGCGAAGTTAGCCGAGCGACGCACGACAATTCACGAAAAGTGAGTTTCGGTGCGGCCGAAAGTTTCGGCCATTTTGGCCGAAACCGAAACGAAACCGAAACTCGAATTCTTGGCCGAAACTGGCCGAAACCGAAACCGAAACCGAAATTTCGGTCGGCCTCTAAAAATTGTCTTATTTGCCATAATTATTTAAATAATAATATTTACCAGGTAGAACAGCCGCCCGTCGAAGCCGCTGAAGACAAAATGGTTCGCACAACTCCAAAATATTATTTACAATCACACAACATGGCCGACTGGCGTCCAACGGCAAGCGATCCTAGATACACGCGAAACTGCAATAAACACACAAATCATTGAATTCAATTCATTGAATCAGAAAGTGTGGCGTGCATATGAGGCAGTGAGTGATTGGCTATGTAACCATACACGGGTTACGCCGTGAGTCACACGACACGCAACTGCGCAAGCACCACCCGATCTAAACGAATAGCAATTTTTATACATAACTCAAAGTTTCGAATGTAGTTGTCGCTAGATTGTATTTATTCAAAATTAATGAACTAAATTTTGCAATTTTAATGCAAATGTTCATTAATTTAGCAATAAATAAACGTAATACACTGCATAAATAGTCAATGAAAGTATATATTCGTCATAAAATCACATATTTTCTTTAAAATTGCATCAAATCTCTTCAAGAACTACAAAAAAAGCATAATAACATTCAAATTTCACTTCTTTGGTAATTTACTCTTGAAATTAAATATCTATATCATTGTAGTTAATAAAAATTCGCGTCGGAAAATTTATCAGACACATGTAGTATTTAAAATTTTTAAAATGTTATTCTATTTAGGATTTGATTTTGAGTATAATGGTGTTTTCAGTTTTTGTTTGTCTCAATTAGTTCCCGAGGTGATTGATTATTAAGTAGCGCTGAAAGAACACATTTCACTTAAAGTCATTTGCAAGGAATACCTTTGGTACAATTTAATAAAAAAATATTTAAGAAACCATAATTGAAAGCGTTTCTTTTAATAATTATTTTAATCACCAATATAAATGTCAGGCGCTTTCGCCAAAATTTTGAAATTTAATTATATTTTGAAAAGTACTAGGAAAAATCAGATGAAACCAATCATCGTCGATGGTTTTGATCCAATAAAATTTAAGAATAAAATTTGAGCCTGTTATTCGACCAAAACAAATTAAAGAAAGAAAATTTTGCCATGTTAATCGGCTGAAAATAATTTAAATTAGACATACAGGCGTTCTTTCAATCAAAAAATTATATGTAACGCACAAACAAGCGATTTTCATAGGATTTAGATGGTTGATAAGACATGCATCGTGCAGAGGACTATGTTGTCAAATTTTTGGAAAAAAATACTAATGTTATAAGATTTTATTACCTTTGTTGCTGAATACGTAAGAATAGGTAAGTTTATGAAGATGCCCACAGGGCGAAATATGTCAACTCAATATATAAAATATAAATCCAGAAGGAATCACGTATAACTATTAATAAATAAATATTTTTAATGTTAAAAGAGCGTTTAAGGGCATTTTCTAAGGGTTTAAATGGTAGATGAGGCATTGATAGAGTAGAGCGTCTCTATAAATAAAATACGAAGGTAAGAAACTCAAAAAAAATTAATTAATTCAGGAGATAGACCTTTTTAAAGCACTAAATTTTGATGAGCATTTTAGGACATTTACATATAATTTAAAGGATTGAAAAAGTATGCACAGTATAAAGTTTTTTTTTAACTAGAATATGACGATAAAGACCTTAAAATATGTGAATCCGTTTACGAGTTATAGCGTGTTTTCCACGCGAATTGTTCAAATATTTAACAAATTCATAGGCAGATAATAAACTGATGTAACATAACCTATGAAAAATATTAAATTAAGACCAGGAACCCGTAAAAAATAGAATGTACGAGAAAGATTTATAAAAACTGCACAATTTAGAGTCCATTCTTACTCTGAATTAAAAATGACAAAGCAAAAACCTGTATTAACGCTCAAACAGGTGATACCTTTATATTTTATGAACCTAGACACCAAATTCATTCAAACATTTATGTTCGACAGTTCATGTTAAGACAAGAAGTCCTAACTCTCTACAGAACAATATTCCGCACGATCCGTCAAGTTCCAGATGAAAAAAGTCAATTGGAATTAAAAGACTGGGCACGAAGGGAATTCCGAGAAAACGCACACCACACAGAAGAACTATCTATCAAAATGATGCTTAACTATGGCAAGAGGTGCTTGAGTGAGCTTCAAACTAGTCTCAGTTTAGCAAAGTCTTAACTTTTAGAGATTTAGCTAAGAGGTTTAAAGTTATAACCATATTTAAATCAGAATATTATGAAATGAAAAAAAAGAATGTTTTATTTCATACATAATTGTATATAAATATGAATTCTATCCATAAATCATTTGTACTGTATAGATAATATTAAAAAGAATGTACTAATTTAGCAATAATGGACTAGATAAATTAGTCACATGATGAATACCCCTGAATCACTTCTTTTTTCTACTCATATCTGAATCCTCCTCGACAGTTTGCACGGCGCATCGCCGTGGAAACCAGCCTCGTATTCGTGGAGCTGTTTCACCTTCTCTAATATCTTTTCTTACCAACTCACCAAACAACCAATGCCTAGAACATTAATTATAAACATGTAATAACAAAACAAACAGTAATAATAAGTTCATACTTATTCCATCTGGTTACCATCACTTGATCGCCTACAGCCAACTTAATTCTAGGCTCATCCGAGCAAGGAAGCGTTAAAAACACACGGAATCCTTGACAAATCGGCACCCAAGCACCAGAAGCTGCCCGGATGATGTGATACAGCTTTGTGCGTTTTCTTTTCTCGGCTTTTTGTAGTAATTGCTCTTTCTGTCGTAATAGTAAAAATACAATTGAAAAAAATCATTTCTTAAATATTAATAAACTTACAGTTAATGTGTATTGATCACAGCCGTCTACAACTTCCCAATGCACACCGTTGCCAATCGGTGAACCGCTAAAATTTAAAACTTGTTTGGTGTTACGCCACCAGCCAAGGTTGTAGGGATACGTAAATTTTTCCTTGGAATTCACACGACGTCGAATTGCTTTGTCTAAAATCCAATCTTCGATGCCGGTTCTATTGCGAAGTATTCCACGAACCTAAACACAAAAATTCATAAAATTTTAAAATTTCAAAAGTGAAATGTTGCACTAAAAGACTTACTTGTAAAAATAAAAGCATACCAACAGCGACAACAATACCTATCGCTAAGCCAAGCGCAGTTACGCATGTAATCAACCCGGTGGCACTGAAATAAATTCGAGGTGCTTCCGGTGTGTAGTATCTATACCAGTTGTAATACAAAGCTTTGTATAAGGAACAGGTCAGAATGCAAGTGGCTTGCATGCATCCAATCACAGCAAACATTAAAAAATATGTAAAGTGCGCCTGGTTGCCCCAACCAACGCAATTATTGATCCATGGACAGTGATGGTCCATTTTTATGATGCATCTACCACCTTAAATTTAAAATAAATAATATTATTTTATTCCTATCAATTTAATATCCTTTAGAATTTAGATTTAGATGATATACATACATTTTTGACAGTGATGTGATCTTGGAGCTTTAAATCCTTTACAAACTGAACAAAACTGTAGGAATTGTTTGACACTTTCATCTTTCTAGAAAATTATTCATTAGTTTAGAAATAATTCTGTATAACAGGCAAATGATAAACTACTACTTCATTTTTATTTTTTAATTTGTTGTATTATTATTCTATAACTTACTGGTTCCCATTTAAGTGGCAAATGACCAGGCCCATGGAATACTGCAGACAAAAAATTGTAAAGTGTGAGGCCTGACAAAATCAAAAAGGATGCAGTTAGAAGCAGGCCTTGACCTGTGTTGGGCGGCCATAGAATCGTGCCACAATGCACCGTCATGCCGGTGACAACTTTGATAATACCTGCAAAGCCATGGACAAAAATCGTCAACTGTTTTATTCATATTAATGAAAATAATATAAAATGAAAAAATTACAAGAGCAAATGAGGTTAACTCACCAAGTGCAGTAATTGGACCCCAATGTTTTAATCTCGCGATTGGTCCAACGCACATTTTGAACTCTTTATTTAAAGCTACGTACTTTTACAACTAGTAGTTCATACTTATATAAATTTAGAACCTATTGCAGGCCTTTAACGAAATGGTGTAGTTATGAAAGGAAACGTAAACACAACTTTAATCTACTACAAACATTTTGGGTTGTCTATGTGACGAATGACGAATTCATTTTCAGGTTATTTGCATTATAAAAAAATAATTCAAATAGATATTATTTTAAATTCAAATGAATGCGAATATAACTTTTAAAAATTTGTAAATTTAATATTCTAGCAATTTAAATAAAGAACAATTTCATAAATCAATAAAAGCAATAACTACTTATTGCAAAATAGGTTGCCTACATGTCTACGTAACATTTGTTTTGCGATTTCCATGTTACTTGTTGGTTATTTTCATTGATTGCGTTCGAAATTTAGCAATTACTTCTTCCAAACTACAAAAATGTAGTCATATTACATGTAATAATGTTAAACCAGTAAAGTAACCATTCCTCACCATGGATTTTACTTTCGTCCTCTGCGGCATTGCGGTTCTTTATGGAGTTTTATTGTTCTTTGACCTCTTCTTCAAGGTATGAAATATTGCAAAAACTTATGAAACCTATGTTTTTTACACCTAAATAACACTGTTTAATATTTTAGAGTTGTATGCTAAAGCCATACATTTGTTTCCTGAAAGGAACTGGCATTTCTATCAAGTTTTTCCAAATTAAATGGGAAACAACCATCTTCAATCGATTATTCCTCAGATGGGGTAACACACCCACCCAATGGAGCATCTGGTTCACCTGGGGCATGTACCTGACACTGTTAATTCTTCCAGTTTCTGTGTTGCTCTTAATCATAGCCCTTAGTCAAAATTTCATTTCCACAAATGTGGCTGGTGTCTACAAGTCCTCAAACTTAGTCATTGAACCATTAATACCTGGCCTCAATCTCCCAGCAAGTGAGATTGGCTATTATAGTTTAAGTTTAATTCTATGTAGTATAATTCATGAATTAGGTCATGCAATTTCATCTGTGAAGGAAGATGTGCATATTATTAATGTGGGCATTAATATTTTGTACATCCTTCCAGTTGCTTACGTAAATCTTAGTTCAGAACGTCTCAACGCGTTAAATCCATGGAGAGCTTTGAGAATTCTGTGTGCTGGTATATGGCATAACTTAGTTTTAAGTATGATTGCTTATTTATTGTACTGTAGTCTACCTTATGTGTACACAATTGCTTTCAATCTGAACCAAGGCATTATTGTAACAGATATGAAAGAAAACAGCCCATTGATGGGCAGTAGGGGCCTTGAGGTGCACAACGTAATAACGAAAATTAATCTCTGTGAGATTAAGAACGAAGCGGACTTTTACAATTGCTTACATCGCGCATATGTTGACAAACGCGGATATTGCGTGCATGCGGATATGGTGCATGACTTGGACGAGAGTATTCCCTTGAAATACACCAGTAACGGTCTGGATTGTTGCGATGAAGAGAAAACTGACAATCTCTGTTTTGAATACGTTGACCACAACGATGGCGTATTGGAAATTCCACCCCACGTTTGTCTCCCAGCTCGAACCGTTGTAGAAACAGCAACGCTGACATGCGGTGGAGTCTCCAACATTGAATGTTCTAATAAATTACACTGCATCAAACCGATGCTGGATAACGTAACAACATTGATCAAAATCATGCGCGAAAATCGTCCTGATGTCATTTATATTGGACATCCCGGTGATTTGATTCAAACTATTACGGTGAGCTCGTTTATTCCTAAGCATTGGACGTCCACACTGCTATTTCCCGACATGGTGATGAAGTTTCTAGAGTATATTATTGTTATTTCGACTGGCTTAGCACTGATCAACGTCATTCCATGTTTGTTCATGGATGGCCAACATATCACCAACTGTTTGGTGGATATATTGATGACGAACACGCCGAGGGAGAAGGCGAGGATGGTAGCGACTTTTATTTGTTTGTGCAGCACGGTTATATTGTTGTTTCATTGTTTTTACACTATCTGGTTGAAGCTCGTGTAGGGGTAACTACTGAATTTTGATAGTTCGTTTTAACTATAGACTGGTACTGACATTTTAGTTTTAAGGAGATTGTAAGTGAAACTATAGGAAATAAATTACTAAATTGAGAGGAGTTAACTCAGGAATATTTTTTATTGCCATATTATTCTGTAATAAATATTAATAGAAGTATTCCAAGAGTTTAGATTGATGAGTACTGCAATCTCCAATTTCAATATTGGTTAAAGTATCACGATATCAACCTTTGCAATGAAATCAATTTAAATAATGGAAAAACATACCGATGACGTTGTTTACATGCGTCTGTGGCTATAATAAATTACTTAACATTGCTCTATTTCTGTTCTCTAATCTTTACCTCCAATTGTTTACTTATCTCTCTGGTTTTGCCAACATTTAAGATAAGATAAAATCTATTGATGCCAATATTTAATTTGTGATCTATACTGTACAATTTATTACAGTGCAAAAAGTTTTTTTAAGCAAAATGGATGTCGAAGAAATTCGGCAATTGGCTCGGGATGCCGAGAATGCATTTCTGAAAGCAATGCATCTGAATAAATCAAAAGAAGACGACGAAGATTCAATTTCATCTGTGCTTGACGAATTGGAGAAACTGGAATACTTGGAGACTCACTTTGACTGCTTTGAAGATAATTCAGAAGAGTCTGAAACACCGGAAGTAAATAATAATAATGTCCCTAGTAAAGAAGAAGAAAATCAAAGGATACAAATAGAAGAATACACGAATGAGACATCGTCACGTGGATCGATTTTAGAATATACAGTTGAAGAACCTGACACAACTGATGAATCCGAACAAAGTAGTCCATCATTAAGAGGATCCATATTAGAATATATTGTTGATTCATCGGATACTACTGATGAGTCTGAGCATAGTGGGAGATCTTTACGAGGTTCTATGTTAGAATATATCGTTGAAGAACAAGAACATAATGAACGAAGTGATATGGAGACTAGTAAGGTACCAAGACTATCTATTCAAGAGATAGTTGCCGAAGCAAATTCACAAGGGAAAAGTTCTACGGAAAATAATCAATTGTAAGTTATATAATCTTCTTACACAAAGAGAAACTAATATTATATCTGCCTAGAAATTTTATTGTGGAGGAACTCATCTCAACAGAAATCGAGTACCTCAGAAGTTTATACTTTTTACAACGGGTATGTACTATTTTTTTTTTAATTTAACACATCATTTTAGAAGTTCATTTGTAGAATTTCCTAAAACCGATTAGATGCTTTTTAAAAATGCAAGGAGATGATTACAAGACTGCCGAGAAAATGTATAATTATGCAAAAATCCTCAATCGACTAGGATCACACTTTCTAGATGACTTAGTACAAGTACCAGTGCATCAAATGGGGGATGTTTTTCTAAAGCATAAAACTTTATTTAATATGTATTCTAAAATGAGTGGAATTTGGAATATCTATATGAAATCGATCCGAGATCCATCACCTGCTGAATATGTCAAGGTATATTTGGTGATAAAAGCCAAAATCTATTTGTGATTGTACAATTTTGTTAATTTTTAGAAATTAGAGTTGGACCTGAATGAAGCCATGGGTTTCAGTAGATACATGTTGAAACCAATGCAACGATTGGCCAAATACGAGTTACTCTTGAATCAAATACTCAAGCATATGTCCAACGAGGATGAAATATCCGGAATTGAAGAAGCTGTCCAGTTTATGAAAGATGTCCTGCTTAGATGCAATACAATTGTGGCTTTGGAAAGTATTGAATATCAAAAATATACTGTAGAAGAAACAGGAAATTATATTATGAAATTTGATCTTAACTGGCGTGTAAAACGAAGGAAGAAAAAGCTGGTTTTACCAACCGAATTATTCCTCTTTGAGAAGGTTGTAATTATTGCTGTTTCAGTCGAAGTAAGTTTAAAATTTAGTTGCTTAGACACAATTTAATGAATGAAATCATTTTTATTGATAGGGATGTTTACAATATAGAGATTCCATGTCATTATCGACGTTAACTCGTGTGGATATGCCCGACACATTGAAATTCACATTAGAGGAGCTAGGAAGCACTGCAAAACAACCTCACATAATAAAATTTGAAGCCGCAAATGCTCAAATCAAACAAAAATGTATTGATTCCATTGATGAACTGCTTTGGGCCCAGCTTTTATCTTTGAAACAACAACAACTTGCCTTGTTGCAAGAGAACTAACATAACAATAAAATTAGGACAATAGACAAACAATTTCGTTTTAATTTAATGTATAAATAATTTCAATGAATTTGATTAGCCGCCGCAGGCCTTGCATTTCTTTTGTGCGCCATTGATGATCGCGTCAACGATAAACACCGCCATCAACAAGAATGCAAGCACACTCAAGATAATGAGATTACCATTACTATGTCTTCCTGAACCGTATCCATCATGCCCATAACCATCATCACGGTAACCGTAACGGTCATGATAGGTATCACGATAATCGTTGTGACGAACTTCGTAGTAATTCGTACGTCTTGTTCCTACGAAACACTCGAGCAAGTAGGCAATGCCCACGATACCACCGGAAATAGCTCCGGAGATACAAATGATTAACTCATACATATGATCTTGGAAACTCGTTACAGCATACATGATCATCATGATGAAAACTGGGAAAAAGAAATAAAAGCATGCGCCTATGAAGAGTCCTCCCAGGAGGCGATAGACTGCATGGTGGTCGTACACTGTTGCGCCATACAAGTGATACCAAAATATTGCCAAAACGATAATGACGATCTGAAATGGGAATTTATTTTTGATGTGTAGTATTCGTATTGTGTTATTTGATTACTTACACATTCTATAAACTTAAGGAGAAATCCGATATCTTTGAAAATTTCTTGGCATTTCCCCATGCCAAGGCTGCTTTCATCCAAATTCGTGTAAAACGCAAATAGTTAGAATATGGCGACGTGTGATTTTTAAAAATAATAAATCACGGACAATTTTTCTGTTTGTTGATGTTTTTGTTTTGTTTTGACAATTATGTTTTAATCACCGCTAGCTATGTTTATCATGTTGTTTAAGATGTTAGTTAAGTAGGCAGACATTAACATGATCAATAATTGGCGTCTTTTTTTGCCTTGTTTTGAAGTGATAAAGAAAAAAGAAAATGGCGGATATCAGAATGCAAGAACCAATCATGTAACGATTATTACATACTATTCAGTCAATAAAAACATTCCAGAGGTAGTAAAATGATAATAACCGACTGCAGACACTGTGTATTTTGCTATGATGGTGTTATATTTACTTAGAAATTGTTACGATTTACAGAAAACAAAACTAATTATTGGTGCGATTCTGAGCAGCACCCGAAGTGCCGTAATGTCGAACGAATGCAAATTGCGATTCTGAGTGACCAACGGAGGTCTTTTGGAGGGTTCGGGTAGGCTCAATCTTCCGAGCAGCTTGAGGGTGCCGATAGCCTTTGTTACATGTTATACGCATGCGCTGCTCTCTTGGCGCGGGTGAAACTGCCTTACCGCAGCCCTTCGTTCTCACTCGCACCCGCACTCGCTGTCTGCTGTCTCAGTCTACCTATTCATTGAAATTGGCAAAGTGGAATATTTTGACGAGCCGTGTGCTCAGCAGATGTGAAAAAAGATGAAGATGACAAGCAATAGGGATGTTGACTGTATTCAAATAAAAAGATAATTTTTACCCAAAATGATAGTTTCTATTATGGAATTACTGAAAATCACAATATTTTGCCTTATTTTTACGTAATTTATTAAATATTATAAATATAAAATACAACAAAATCACTCTCAAGTCACGTGACCGCGAACACCAATCAGAGTGCATGACGTCACTTGTTGGACTCGTTGAGGTACTTGCTTGAACACAGACCTCGTGCATGCTGTTTTTAAGCGTTCTTCATTGTTTGGTTAAATTCTACATTTCTGATTTCTGTGTAATTTGCTAGAGATTCGCTTGTTGCTGTCTTTGAAAACGTTTAAAAGAACATTTTTATAATGGAAAGTGGGTTGGTTTATTAAAGCAAATAGTTCAAATTTGCCGAGAATTGACTGTTTTACAGTGGCCAATTTCGCCAGATGGAATATGTGTCGAATTTGTAATAGAAATCAAATGCCCGGCACGAGCAGATACATATAACAATTATGTAAGACATGGAAAACTAACAAAAAAATATTATGCACAAGTGCAACTGCAAATGTTTTTGTCTGGCAAGAAAAAATGTTATTTGAGTGTAGCTGACAGTAACTTCGAAACTACCAAAGAAGTAGATATTCTTTGTGTTAATGTGGACATAGAATATATTCACAATACACTAATAATGCTTTCAGGATTTTATTTAAAAACAGCTTTATTTAAAGACATAATGAGTCTTGTAAATTAATTAAGGCACATGTGATTATAATTACTTCATCGAGTACCCTTAATAGAATATTATTAATACAAGCATGAGGCTTTAAAATATATGTTTTTCTGGAATGCTTGTGTGTTTGCTTATTGTATTGATTAAGCAATAGCAACTTTCTGGTACTCCAATGTAGAACCTTGGCTTTTTCTTAATTTTCCTCATTGTATTATGAATATTTTGCTCCATCTCTTGTTGAATCACTTCTTCATTTAGACTACTACTTCCTGAAGAAGCTTTCACTTGTAAAGAGGATAATCTTGCAGAAGAGGAGTCTGAGTGAGTCACAGACACAGTTGATTGTGTACATAATGATACATCACTATCTGACTGTTAACCAATAAATTTGAGATGAATATTTTGTCAATTTTTCTCAAGTATTTGTTGATAATGAGCCAAATACGTAGCATATAAAAGATTATTTATATTTTTCGACTGTGTTTCTTCCACCATTCTTCGCTCGCCAAGCCATCATTGATTTAGATTTATGTTGATTTGCCTTCCACTTCGTCCCACTCGCTTCGATTTTCACTTCTTCAAAGGGTCACCAAAAGGACAGAAAAAAGGTAGAATCCACCAAAAAACAAACACATTGAAAACGCCGCTGTTGGAAACGTTGGAATTGCTCGAAATATTGGAATCGATCCGAAAGTAGAAAACACGATCGCAATGTATCAATTAGTCGCACGTTTTCCTTTTCCATACAGCACTGTCCTCATCCCTACATTTTCATTTATCGTCAAACATTCCGCATTAATCACGTGCGAAGTGCACTTTTTTTCTTCTCCTATTTTGTCTATGCGATTTATTCAGCTTTCTTCTTAATGTTTGGCCGACACACCAGCAATCTAATTAGTGAACAAAAAAAAACTAAAAAGAAAATGAAATAAATATATTTTAATATATTAAATGTATAATTTTGTTTACTAATTTTCATTTACTAAAAATGTATATAATGGTATTCTAAGCATGAAAATTAGGTTTTTGTACCATATTTTTTGTTCCATTGCTGCTGTTATCTTAAAAATTAAAGAAAAAATAGAGAATTTGTTAATGACTTTTAATTACCACATGTCTACAAAATAGCATTCATCAAATTTCAAAGATAAAATTCCAAATTATTTATTTTTCGTATAAAAGATGCTGTGAAGCCAGCGTGCGCTCTGAAGATGGCGCCGGGTTCAAAGCTGAGAGCAGAAGGACTGATGTGTGGATTTTACGCTGGTTGTAAGGCAGCGGAGAGTCTTAGAGGTGCTCGGAGAAGTGAGGCGATCTTCACTCGATGCTTGCTCGGTAACTACTACTTTATTCATCCAAAAATGTCTAAGTGCAAAACTTTGCGTACATACTTGCCCAAGGGCAGTGACCCTTCGTAATTTGTAATCTTAAGATAGCTTAATTACTATACAGCGATATATATATAATTGTTAGCACAAGGGTCAGTGTGTGACGTGATGGACCCTTGCTCATCTGCGAATGTGTTTACTATCTACTGTATCTACGTAACTACTGTACTTTCTAAACATTAAGTGTGTTGATATACATATTACGATGTTAGTCTTGTGATTGCACTATTGTATAACTTAATTGTATTTATTGTCTAAGTTCCCGGCGACGCACTATCGGCACTAAATAACACACCACACAGAATTCCTAAGAAGTTGGAAAACTTCTGTCGCTTATCTGTTTGCGGTGCAAACAGATGCGAAACAAACTAAAATATACCTATCTGAATCCGCAGTACACAACAACTCTTTAACGACTCAGCAATATGAAGTTACTTCTGGTATTTTTCTTGGGCGCACTTGTGGTAAGCAATCAAAAATAAATTGTTTATTAATATATAATACTTTAAAACAGTTTCAGTATGCCTCTGCTATGCTTGGCCCTGATGTAATTGGCGATTGCCATACGAGTAGAGTGTATGAATTATTAATTGGCCACGATCCTTATGAGAGAAATCATAAACTGTATACAAGAATTAGCATGTGTGTCGAAGCGATTAAGGGCCAACTGACGGAGGTTCAAATTAGCAAACTTGAACAATTTTGCAACACTCTTCGTACTGTAGATGAGGGAAATTGTTGGTATGGTCAAAACTGCATCCGTTTGCTCCGTGATGAAAAGCACGTATTCAGGACAATTAAATCTTCCAAACGAATTCTCAAATCGGCTAAGGCATTAACTCCTGGTTGCAAGGGAATTATAGCTGATATTGAAGATCTGGAATCAATTTGCGATATCATGTTAAAAAAACAACCAGCTGAATGATAAGCGTATAATAAAAAATACCATCGTGTACCAATTTTGTTTAAATTAAATTAAGTATATCCCAATGCAAAAAAAAATTATTTTAAAGAAAAATTAAAATTTTCACACGCATGAAGTATCTGTTTTCTCGAATGTTGATTGTAGTTTTAGGAAGCTATAGCAGTTCCTAGAAAGAAAGAGGCAGCTAAGAAGACACAAGAAAGATCACCCCAGTTGTGCAAGGAGCGCAAGCAAGAAGAAGAAAATTTGGCAAACGGAACGTTAAAATTTTTACTGATTCAAAACACCTCAAAACTATAAACTAAAATTTTATTTGAGAAAATTAAACAAAATTTTAATAAAGAAGTTTAAAATTCACTAGATTTAAATATAATTTAAATATTTCATTTCTATAAAATGATTTGTAACACTTGTGTTATAATATTTTATTGATGAAACGCGCTTCACGCAATACAACAATTTGCTATTGAAATCAAGTGTTATATAAAGGACCGGCACAAGTCAGGTTGGCCGAGCGGTCTAAGGCGCCAGATTTAAGCTCTGGTTCTCGCAAGAGAGCGTGGGTTCGAACCCCACACCTGACAAACCTTTTTCTGTCATTTTTATTAAAATACACAATCATTATCATAAAACTTGTAACTTCAAACAATATTTTTCAGTTTCCATTAACCTTTATCAAGAAAAACAAACTCAATACCATCTAAAAATAAAACTTGGCGTATTTTTCCACAATAAATTTAAGAAATCGAATGACACCAGGTAAGTGTTGGTCTGCTGGCTGTTGATAGCTGGGTAATTGTCGTTTAATGAGCGCGTATGATCGTTAAACGTTTTCGGAGCCACCGGACCACCTTGCCGACGCGTATGACGTCAAATTACCTGTCGCGCAGAGCGAACGTATGTACCTGTAATAATTGCTGATTGTCAGAGCGCGCACACGCCGCTAGTTTGTTTGCGAGCGCGACGCGTGATGTACTTAGTCTTATTAACAAAAAACACAATAATCTACAGTGAGGTTTAGTGATTGTGATACTCTCCCATTGTATTCTCGTTGATAACGTGATAAAATCCAAGATAACAGAGTAACGATACACTCCGCACGTAATAACGGATATTAACGACATTTGTTTTTCGTGTTTGCGACGTATTGCGATTGTTTCAATAGTTTTCAGCCAGTTGAATCAATAAAATGGCTCAGATAATTTGGTTTATCTATGTGTTACAAGCTGTGCTCATTCTTCCATCATCAGGTAACTAACATTAAATAATTTTAAGTCCTATGAATCACTTTTAACTTTTAACATTAAAGATATGAATATGAGTTGTAGAAATCAAATTCCCAAAATCCGCGTGCGTCACTTTTGCTATTATTCAAATGCACGCTCGTAAAAATGTCTCGCATGAATGGAAATTAATGCTTGTAATTATTTTGAATCTAATTAATCGTTTGACATACTTGCACGCGTTCTAGTACTTACCATTTGTGTTTAGCTCTCATTAACCTTGCGCGTGTATTAAACTTAAACCAGTTTTTGCAGCTGAAATTCCATCCACGCTTGCTGCATCGATCACAACAATTTCCACTGATAAGAAAATTGACGGTTTACTCGATACAACCACATTGAGCAATCCAGAAATTGAAAACACGCAACAAACGGAAAATAAGTCACAAAATGACACAAACGCTGATAAAGTGGTGAAACCAGTTGGTGACAATGCAACTTATGATGATGATACACCCAGTATAAACACTATTAATAAATTAAATGCGACTTTATTGCAAAACAATCAAGCAATCAACGAAAATGTTGCAAATCAGAATGAAACTGCTTCTGAACAAGACGATTTGAATCAAAAGGAACCTCAAGAAGATTTGGATCTGGCTCGAGCTGTTTTTAAAAATGAAACGTTTGGACTTCCGGAGAATTCGGATATAACTTCGGTAGTGAATGAAGATGATGTAAGCGAAATACAGACAGGAAACAATGAAGATGAACGTGAAGCCAATTCTAGTTCATTAATAGGAAAGGATTATATTATAGATGATGGACCGTTGGTAATACAAAATGGCGGCATCACCAGTCAGATTCCTGTGATTGTTGCGAGTATTTTTGTTATTTTGTGCGTTGTGGGATATACGGCAATGCTAATGTGGAGGAGATATTTAGAGTATGTTGATGAAATGTGTTTGGGATAATAATATTATTAATAATAATTATTATGTGTTTATTTTAGACGGAAATATGGCAACAGGGAAATGTTGATCAATGAAGAGTTTGATCCAAGTGATATGCGGCATTTTTCTGTAAGTATTTTGATTTTATAGGTTTTCTCTGATGTTTTTTTAATGTTTTAATTTACATTTTAGATATAAATTCATCAGACAATGACGATCAGAACTAGTCATTACTGGTCAAACTCTCAAGACACGTTCCTCTACGTATCATTACGAATCATTACGTAAATTGGAGATGGGAATACTAAGAATACTGTGATATACAAGAATTAATAAACGCAAAAGTTTAAAATATAATGAGTTACTTATACATTTTACCCGTAAAACCTTTATGATCTTTACAAATTGATTTTAACTTATTTTATATAAGTTAAAACAAAAGTTTTTAAGTTTCACATATTTAATCAAATACCTGCAACAAGTATTTAACAATTTAGTTAATATAATAAATTTTAATCAATTAAAAGTCGCACGAACAGTTTCCGCAAAGAAAACAGTTACTAACATTAACTATAACTCTTTAATTATTATTTAAAAAAATCTAATATCGCAATATTCCTAACCTTTTAAACGATAATTATTCTTAAACTTAAAAAATTATAAAAAAAAGACACTAGTATTAATAATACATAATAGAATTACAGACTTACCTTGTTTGTAATTAGTAATTAGCTATTCCATTTTCCGAGGTAATGGAAAACAGAGAGCAAACTAAACAAGGCACCACAAGCATGCACAAGTGAAAACAAAAACAAAACAAAAACAATCCACAGACAAGAGTTTTACTTCATATCTTGACGCTGAGATGGCGCTGCATGTACCAAATCTGTTCATATACAAGAATTTACTGAACATCTTCATTTCATACAAAGACAGTTTATACAAATATTACATTCAAATAAAATTATGCTCGACCATATGTAGGGTAAGTTTTCGCATCCAATCCGCACATTCAGAATGCCACTTTTCTACCCCGAATGCTTTACTGGTATCCATACCATTACTGACAACATCTTTGACATCAATAATATCTTCGTTTTGCCTCATGCTCATTGGAATACCGATCAACCCACGAAGAAAACCATATTTTGCATAAGCAAATATTTCTTCCAGAAACATTGAATAACTATAAACCTCTTCAATGTTTAAACCTAATAATTTACTGTGACTCTTTAAACTGTCGTAATAATGCTGTAAATATTCGTCTAGTTTTGGATATTCTTCCGGTTTACCGTTGACGTAGAAGATGAAAGAAAAATCCACTGCTGGAGAAACAACCCAAACGTATTGGAAGTCCAGGAAACAAATTGAATCTAAAGTGTTGTTCTAAAACATTTTACATGTTAAATATTGGTTAAAATTGTTTTAAAAGTAGTTAACTTACATTATATCTAAATAACATATTGTTACTCCAACAATCCATATGTGAAACAACTCCAAATGGTCCTTGGTACTCCAAAAAACCTTCGCAATATTCCTCTAAATGATCTTCAATGTATTCCAATTTCTTTAGAATCTTCACATCTTCTTCAGCTTGAAACAACTCTTTTGTTTGTTTTAATGTAGCTCTGTACCAGCTGTTTGTCTCGTCATTCAAATTACAGTTCTTTCCACCATGTATATCCTTCAATCCTTTTACTAAACTCTCATATAGTTCACAGTTTTTAAACTTCAAAGCAAAAGAAAACGCATGTAGCTTGCCGAATTCTCCAAGAACAAATTTAACGTGTTTTTCATCTAAAAACAGTGTTTTATCCCTCATTCCATAGCCAAATTGACGTACATCTTCAAGTACTAATACTTCTTTAAATGGTGTGGTAACAGCTGTGATAAATTTTGGCATTTTTGGCACTTTTTCTGCTTCTAATTTATAAAACTCTGGCAGTATTGTAGCATAAAAGTAAATTTCACTCAGGTATAACTCTCTTACACCCATTAACTCTCTGTGGGTTATATCTTCCGGTGCACATTTTACAATTAATTCCTGTGTTTCTGTATTGTTGTTTGAATTTGATTTTGAGATGTTGTTGATTGTAACTTTATGAATGTAACTTACATATCCATCGGTTTTCTTACATCCAGGGAGATTTTAATTTCGGCATTTTGTGATAATATTTCTGGATAATTTTTGAGTAGAATTTCGACTTGCTCTTTGGTCAAATGCATCTTATCAACTGGTTGTAACAAGTTGTTGAGAAGTATGTTCGTGTTAAAGTTTATAGCTCAATAGATGACTTAACATATGACTTAATATATGTAAATAAATTGTGCTGATAAGAGTTGTTTTCATTTAGTTAATGATAATTACATGCCAAATAAAGATTTTGTTTCTTATCAACAACGAAATGTCTAAGAAAGAAATAATTCCATTCAAGATTAATTTATTAAATATTTATTAGGAGATAAAAATATCAAATAGGAGATTTGAGGTTATGTTACATTGTCACTCACATAACCTAATAAACAAGGTAAATGTATTGTTTATTATCTATAAATATAACTATATTTGATCTCTATACTAATTTTTTCAATTATTTAACACCCATAAAGCCATTTTTATTATTTTAATAGTTATTCTGCTATTTGGAGCGAAAACAAATCAAAAAAATCATAGATCATCAAAATCTGTCTAACCATTCTTGAGCTATAAATGCTTTAACTAACACAACTTTATTTCTTATTGATTTAAAATAGATTACAACAGATTTTCTGCTTCTGCATGTTCAATCAACACTTTAATACGTTCAATAGTCTTCAAATTCCATTTATCGATATAAAAAGAAGCACCAACATTATTCTGATCGTGTGTTTTGACATCTTCATCATCCTGTGTATTCAACGAAATACCCATGACAGCCTTAAGTATACCATACTTAGCATAATCCTTCCAATCATCCATAAACATCTCCCATGAATACATTTCTTCCACACAACAATTCAAGGCTTTTCCATGTGTGACAAGACTATCATAATATATTCTCAACATCTGCAACCAGTTCTTCATCGTCTCAACGGAAGCATTTATATACAAAAAGCAAGAGATGTCCAAAACAGGAGATGCTTTCGTGGCCGTCTGAAAGTCGATCAAAATAACATCCTCAACACCTTCTGAATCAGTTGATTGTTTAAACAGGAAGTTATTGCACCAAGGATCCATATGTACAATGACACTCGGATATTTATCACTTGGTTTGAGTAATGTCTTCATCACAGATTCAAAATTATCGTGTAAATTCTTCAATTTTTTACTTGTAGAAATATTACTGGATTCAAACAATGTGTAGGCTTTTTGTAATGCATCCTGAAACCATTTGACAACTTCCCCAGTAAAAACTTCACTTTGATCTACGCCATTGTCTAATTCCTTCCAAGTTTTAGCATTTTCTGTTTGAAGAGCAAAGCTTAACGCGTGAAACTTTCCGAATTCTTGAAGAACAATCTTCATACATTCTTCACTGAAACAGTATTTCCTGTTTAACATTTTGTAACCTTTCGAGGCGAGGTCTTCCATGATTATAACCTCCTGACATTGTTCTTTGACAGCTTTGAAGAATTTCGGCACCAAAACAAAAGGTTTTTCAGTGTATTTCAATTGAAGTTGATTGAAAAGTGGTACGATTGTATCATAAAAATGTATTTCACTTTTGTAGAGAAGTTGCACAAGTTTGCGAAATTCAGCGTCCGTCGGTGCCACTTTGATTAACAAATTTAATTGCTGATTTGTTGACTTTTTTGTGATAGAAACACGAAGAATTTGACTCATTAATCCATCCGCGATTTCGACATTCGCGTTTTTTATTGATACAATACCATCAGTTATGTTTTCTGCTTCAAGAACACTTTTTATTAAAACTTGGACTTTATTATCTTCCATAGTTATAGTTATTAATATAAATTAACGTAGTTTATGTTAAAAATGTAATTTAAAGTAATAAATATTTAGTTATTACAACTTTCTGTAGTTAGAGTTGTGAAACATGAACTCGTGCTGAACTCGGCAACGAACTGAGTCATTATCTAATCTCCCGTCATGTTCGTAATGTTGTTAATGAACCGGCGTCAAGGTTATAGTACATAATACAAATCCACGAGCTACATACCAGTAATAATTGTACGAAACAAAATAAAAGTTTTAATGAAGTTTAAATTATTTTAAGACTAAAAATTGAAAAATGCGCCATCTGTATTCGAATTAGGTAACTACAGTAGAATCCGTTTATTATGACTCCGCTTATATTGACCAACCGGTTATTATGACGTACCTACACTACCAAGTTTGGTTTTCATATAAAATTCTGTATAAAAAAAGTCGGATATAATGACATCGCTTACAGTGACATGTCGCTTATTATGACCCATTTTTAACAGATTATGTCCGGTTATATTGACCAACATGATTCTTTACACCTCCGGTAATGTTCGTTGATACCCGACGACGTTCGACACGTGGCGAACTTTTTATATTTATTGCTACATTTCTTTTATGATTGTCAAATTACTTTTATGTATTTACTATCGGAAAGACCAAATGCTTAAATAATAAATATAAGCATTCGGGCAGCAGTACCTTGACCACGACTTAATCCGTATTTTCCATTAATCCGAATTTGGCGTGGGTCATTCGACAATCTCAATGCTTTTTAAAAAACAAGAACCGCATTAAGCAATCGTTCAATTCAAATGTTTTGAAACCGAAGAGGCTTCGAAAATCACAAGAAAATTAATTAAATGAAAAAACAAAAGCAGACAAAAATTACAGATTACTTGAAGTAAAAAATACACTTGTATGTGTTATAATGTGCTGATTATGTGCAATTTTGATTTTGATTTAATATGTATGTATATGTACATATTTACATAAAAAAGGGATTTCATTTCACAAAACGCTTTGTATGACGTCCGCTTATTATGACGTGTTTGTCAATTCCCTTCGATGTCATTATAACCGGACTCTACTGTATATTAATTAATAAATATCCAAAGTTTATTTTACACTCTTTCAGATAAATTTTTGCAATAAAAAGTAGCCTATTTGCTTTTCTATGACAAAAACTATTTTTATACCAAAATTTATAAAAATATCTTCAGTAGTTTTTACTTGAAAGCGTAACAAACAAACAAACAAACAACCTCTCATTAGCATTTACAATATAACCTATAAATTATATGATAAAGTAAGAGTGGCTGAGTGAAATAAATCTCTTTCCACGTGATTTCTCCTCCATTGAAGCGTAAATCACGACGGCATTGACACAAATGTCGAAGCATCACTTGACCATCGAATGTCAGACGGGTCATGTGTCCATGATGCCCATGTCCGCATCAATGAATCTTTCCTTCAGCTGCTCCAAGACACCAAATAAAACACAACGCAAAGCCTTGCGGTGTTACTTTTCTGCTTTTGCGTCTCTCGACTCGTTAAGAAAGTTCACATTGCGCGTGTGAGGTCACGTGCTGCATCTGGAGCAAGTGGAGCTTACCGCTTACGTCTAACATCAACAAAAAAGAATCATGAAGTCATTTATTATCAACGCCTGCATCGCTTGCATCTGCTCTATCATCAGATGCGATTGATGCGTGTGTATAATGTCATGCCCAAAGTTTACCATCCATAAGTCAGTGGAGTACATTGTGGTTTTACTTCGGGTTTTTGTTTGCCTTCGAGGAGGAGCGCAAAGAGCAAAAAGAGCAAACGATGACGCAGGCGATTCTGCAGCTGTGGGAATTGTGTCAATGTCGAGACGTTAAGCGTCTCTTGCTGTGTCAATGTTGTTAATGTTGTCGATATTGATATTATTATATAAAAAATATCATGAGATTTTTGGCGCCGTGAAGTTGAAGTTGATATGCAAATTAATTTACGCCTCACACGGCTATAATTTGCACTTGTAGTGTGACATTATATAAAAATTGCGTCTAGATCATATTTAGGCCATTGTGGATTTACATTTAAACTAATAAATTACTCAAATACTAGATTTGCAAAATATTAACCTGTTTCGGCGACGAATTTAAAACTTTTCTTTGTGTAAATCCATTTAATACGTAATTCAATCCGTAAAGTTTAATCCATACGACTTTGACACTAATATTCTTCCAAATTAAATATTAATACACGTTTTAATCAGTTTATTATGTAAACAATTTGATTTACATAAAATATTACGTTTAAATTTTTGTTAAAAAATATTTTTTGGTAATTTTAAAGAAAAAAATTAAAAACTGGGGTTTAAACATTATTTATTCAAAATAATTTCATGATACACGTAAATATTAGTTGACATTTCAATATTTTTATAGTTTTATGATAATAATATTTAATTTCTGATTCCCAAATACATTTACAATCGAATTTATTTTTAGTTTACTTCAATGTGATTCATGAAATTTAATTTTTCTGAAATTTTGCTTCATTTTTATTTTTATTTCCTAATTTATTTTGTTAAATAATTAATAATGATAAAGTACAATATATCACCGTCTCGCAAGCGTTATCTTACCGCAGATTCATTTACATTTTACATTTTACATCATTAGATATTAAAATTTACTAAAATATTCGTTTGAAAATACAACTTTTCTTCTTACTTCTCTCACACATTACATCGTTCTTTAAACACATTGCAATTGCAAACAAAAAAAAAAAAAATTTAATTTTATTGTTTCTACATAATTATTATATTATTACATTATGTGAAACTATTTCTGACATCGCTACAGTGTGTTTATTATAAAATTAGCCGTAAATTAATTTCTACGCACATATAAACTAAATAATCATTACTTTCATGTTCAAGTACCTATATTGTGCTAGAATAAATATGTTTCTTATGAAAAATTATAGTTTCGGTTGATTTCTGCCTTCAGTTGCCGAGTTTTAGATACTTTCGATATTTTCGAATTCTGCATCGTCCATTTTGAGGTCGTACCTACATTGAAACATGTATTAGGTACACTGACTTAGGATTATGATTATTATTTGTTATTCTGTTATCTTATCGAACAAATATGTATTGTTTTATCTGTTTATATGTATGTTGCTGACCGAAACACCCTGTAGGTCGGTATTATATATAAAAACGCTCGATTTACAAATAGCTTTACAATGCCATCAAAATCTATCAAAATCAATTGTAGCGTGCAAACTTTCACATCCTCAAACTCTTAACATGCTTTAAGTTACGTGTAATTTATCACACTTCAAGTTCATGCCAGTAAAATCTTTGTTAAGCTTTCAGTTCACGAAAACTTTATTATATCTATAAATAAATGCTTAGGTTTAAAACGTTTAAGAATTTTTTTTTTAAATTTCAGCTTATTATCTGAAACCACATGTTGTGAGATAAATTGTCTCCACAAGTGCGCGTTTATTAACGAATTTAAGCAGATGAACCTTGACATTTCTTCGCGTACACCGCGCACAATGTGTAGCCTTCATGTGGTTGTTGTTGTTGTGGTTTTGGGCTCTTAAAGCTCGGATTTTAAGCCGAATTGCAGCGTGAAAAACTCGCGCGCGCGAACAATACGTGATGCAAAAAAGCGTTGATGCGCGTCTGGCGTTGAGAAATGCGAGCTTATTATATAATTCATTTGCAGCGTGATGGCCGTTGAATATTATTATAAAACAACTCATTTGTAATACGTCTGATACGGACAGATACATTCAGTGAATTTATTTTCAACCGCTATTGTTTTTATTACTTGCGTGCAAGCTATTTGAAAGGATTAAGCTTGTTTTGTGATCAAATACAGAAATTCCACTTTGTTAATGAATATTAAACGGTTTGTACACAACCAACATTACATATTTATGTAACAAATCTTTAAAATTTTAAAATTGATGACATTTGTTTGGTTATTGTGTAATGTTGGTTGCCTACATGGTGCTCAGAGTTCATTACTAAAGTTGAAGCTTAGGAGGTTAATATATTAAAAGTTACACTGCCAAATTTGCAAATTTTGTAATAACAATCTAGATTATATTTAAAATTGGTATTTACCATTTTAGGGCAGTACTGGGTTAATTTAATGGATTTCTATGCATTGGTCACAATAATATTGGTATTTCAATATATAACAATAAATATTATTCAATCTGTCACACTAGAAATTTCATTTATAACTAACAATCATTTATATTTAACTCCCTTTGTTATAGTGCGGCAGCAGTGACATCTATATACTTATTAATCAATTATTATCATAAATAACCTCAATTTTAAACTTTTTAAACTTTCAATTTTTTTTTCATTTCAAAAATAATATTAAAAAAGCAATAAAATGATTGTTTAAATGCTATTAATACGTATGGTATAATAGGCAGCATTGTTATTAGTGGAGGAAGTTATTGTTCACCTCATAAACATAAAATGAATGAGTTAAAATCTACGACGATAATTATCCGATTTAATTTTAAACCCTGTTGAATGGTTTTATTCAAATAAAATTTTAATTTTAATTTTAATAAAAATTTATATTAATATTTATATACAATCAATATTAAGAAGACTTAAGTAAGACACGCATGTGAGTGATGCTTATTCTTGATCGTAACCTCAATCCATCAATAAAAACCTAACCTAATATCATTCCTGTCCATTCACTCAAGCAAATTTTGGAAACCGTTTCAACAAACACTTCAAAACGTCAACATTATAACACCTTTCCTAAGTCTTACGTTATTTGTGAAAATATTTGAATAACTAAAAAGCATATTTGGTTCTTATTCTAACTGTAAGTACCCTTTTGTTTCTTTTAATATTATCGATTAATATTGATTATTATTTGCTATGCATTGATATCATCTAAACATTTAAACATCAAAACACTTTTGCGTTATTAACCAGCAATGTGCGCGCAACTATAACTTAATTCTTTTACATGCTCAACAATCATTTATCTAACTTGTTAAAGCTTCTTTTTACCACTTGAAATGTGAATGTAAACCAATCAGAATAACTATTTTCTTTGGTTATTAATTTATTTTATTTTCTCGTTTTCTGCCTCGAGTATGTTTTGTGTGTGCAAAATTCCAGTTAGAAAATATCTTCGTTGCAATTCTTATCAAATTCAAATCAATCAAAAATTCAAGTTTTTCAACCTACAATTATCAATATTTTATTTATTTATTTAATATTATTAATATATCTAGTACTTATTATGTTATTATAATCAACAATTATTGTTTCCTCGAAAGTGGGACTCCTCAAACATCAAAGTGACAAAATGTTGGGTTGTTTGTGACCAGATTCGGCCAAAACTCGTCGAAATCCGCGCCTTGACTAGACACGCATTGATTTGGACAAACAATGACTCTGTGTCTCAGAGGAAAAACCAAGCCACGTTCAAGTGGCACCCACCAACACGAGTTTAAACCCCGGTGTTGTTGTAAATGTACGACACGGCGTGGTCGTTCATCGGCGCAAGTTTCCTCGTCGATGAATTATTGTTGTAGAAGTGCGACGATTTGCGCATGCTCGTCGACGAGGACATCATGGCGACTGTTTCGTAGTACCGCAACCTGCCGCAGCAGCGCCGCGACTTAATAATCGCCATGAATCCACGCCGATACTTTTTATTGAAGAATGCGTACAGAATCGGATTGATACAGCTGTTAGAAGCGCCCAACCATTGCGCGATAGGTGTCGCCACCTGCAAAACCTCTTCCTCCCAGGAGGAAACCTCTCCGCCGAGTTTAATTCGCGCGAAGATCACGTACAGCGGCAGCCATGAGAGGACGAAGAGAATCACCACTGCGACGAGCATTTTTACAACCTTGACTTTACTCTTCTGCTGCATACGCTCCATTTGCGCGTCCTTGGTATCAGTTGGGATGTGCCGGCGCCACACCTTGATCCAGATGAGCACGTAGCAGAGGGTAATGAGGATCATCGGCAGGATGTAGCAGAAGACCATGTTGGCGATGAGGAAATACAGCGCGCCGTTGAGCGCATCCGGCCACACCTCCAAACACAGCTGGATATCAGGAGCTTCTTTGAAGATCGTCACCAAGTCGAAAAAGATCGCCCAGGGGAGCGTGGTCGACAGGGCGATGAACCAGATGAAGAGGATCATGAATCGTGCACGACGTTTTGTGATTTGGCATTTGAGCGGCCACCAGATGGCCAGGAATCTGGAATTTTAAATAGAAAAGTTTTATGAGTATCATAAACTTCGTATCTTAATACTTAAAAACTTTTAATAGTTTAAGATAGATCAATCATCTGCAATTTCAAAAGAGACAACCAAGTTTCTTTGATAAAAATATAAATTATGGCTAATAAAATAAATCCGCCATTTTACTAGCGCACATTTTTGGCATTTCCTAAAAAGAACAAACGAATTTTATTCTTTGAACATTAATTTTTGCTTTGTTGGATTTTTTCATGTGATGTTTCCGTTTTATAATTATTTCGATCGTAAATATCAACCCGGATGGAAAACCAAAGTACGAGTATGAAATGAATACATGATATGCACAATCACAAAGAACGCAAAGGGCCAAGGCCTACGAGAAGTCGTAAGTCATGCGCGGGCCGAACGACGCTGAAAATTATAGACTCTGGTTGACATTACAGGGTCTGATTGTGGCTGTGCTTTTGCGGTGTTATTATTTTTTTGCGCGACCGCGGCGAGCTTCCGGCTTGTACGCGCTTGTACGACCTGCTCCTGACCCGATTTTGGGCACTGTTACACATTAATACCTTCGCACGTCCTCGACGACGACGATTTGCACACCAACAGCCAGGGAAAAACGCAATAACGATTGTAAATCACTTTTTATGTGACTTGCACTCGCTTAAATCATCCTCATCAAGGAAACGTCAAAGTAATATCTACCAGAAATTCAAACAAACAAACAAAAACGGGTTGTGATCATTCATTCTGGGCATTAAAGATTATCATTTTTCATTCTATTTGAATGTTTGAATCTATAATATAAAAACGAATCGGAAAGTCTGTTGGTAAGCGCATAACTCAACAACGTCTGGACCAATTTGGCCAATTCTTTTTTTAAATGTTTGTTAAAGTCCAAGGATGGTTTTTACGGCGAGAAACATTCGAATAATTACCGAGAAAACCCTAAAGACAGTAATTTTCTGTAGGATAAAAGTTGGCATTGAGATTCAATCATAGTTATAGTTAAATAGTTGAATCCGAGATGGCGCGTTGAAGTGCATTATTAGCAATTCTTTATATAATTAATTTCTTTAAAATAAACTTGCGAATCTTATTGATAGAATTGACCCATACTATGTCTAAAACACGAGAGTTGAAACGAATTACATTTTTATTAAACACTACCGGAGAAAAGCTAGTAATTTATATAGATTATACATTGTGTATATTGGGTTGCATAAGTCATTTTAGACTAATTCTAACATATTCCCTTTTTAATTGAAATGGGTTGGCCAATGTGTAATTTTATTGTTGTTTAGTTCTTGTCCACGTCTGCCTTGTTGTTGCAGTGTTTGTTATGTTCTTGGAACGTGTGCCTAACTTGCGCGAAACTAACGCCGTACATGCTAATTAGCGGTTGCAAACTCTGCCCACTGACACGTTTCACCTGCTTATTTGCGTTTGTAATTATTTAATTAATAGTTGTGCACTTTTATGCAAACTATATTCTCAACTCGTGCGATGGCCATGAATGCGCATCAAGGTGAAAACTTTAAACATCATTCCGTTACATGTTAATAAAATAAATTAATTAATTTATTTCTATCTAAAAATATATTTAAATCATGGGAGATGTTTAAATTTGAGTTTAAATCGTGTTTAAACTGTTTGAAAGTTCAAGGAAACGCATAAAATGATGAAATTCGATTGAAATTTAAAGGATTCTGATTAAAACAAACAACAAGTTACAAGGTGTAGCATTAAAACAAAGTGATTTAAATAATTTGCATCTGATTACTTTGAGAGAATAGAATAATTTAGTAATTTAATTAATTTAATCCAAGATTATATTATTACTGAAAGATTTACTGGGTTGTGATGCGTCACGTAGGTGTTTTATTCCGACAGTTAGTTAGCACTTGTGTTTTCTCATCGGAAGAGTCCCGCTAACGAAGTTGCGAGCATGCGAAAAACCGACGAGAATCCCCACGGCCGCCATCATCAGGTTAATTTCCCCAATTGGCGAATTTGCCAAACAGCCAAATGGATTTGCGCCAATGTCGCAGCGTCCGACTAATTCAATGCCAAGTTCGTTTCGCTGCTCACGCTGCTCTTTTCTTTCTGCCGCCTGTCGTCCTGTCGTGCTGCGACATCAGGACGAGAGCGCCGGCTTGAACTTGAACCGCTCGTTGAACCCTGCGCCAAACGCGGCCTCCGATCGAGTGTGTGACAAGAAGGGAGAATTAAAATAGGAAAAAAATGAAAACGTGCCAGCCGACCAAAGTCAAGTTTATTTATTGATGAGATTATGAAATTACGGGGTTTGCTGCAGGACGTTTTAGATTTTAAAAGCTTTTCGATAGATTTTACCGGAGGGCAAAGCTTTTAGTAATCATCGAAGGGAAAATTTGGTTTAAATTTACGACTTATTAATTAAGTAAAAGTATATCACTTAGGAAAGGACTTATTTTAGTTCATTATATTTATTTTTATTTAGTATTAGATTTTGCCTGAAACTTCGTCAACGTAGATTTTAATAAAAAGAAATTAATCTTCTTATGTTCTGCTTTCTTATAATATGTGTAAGTCGACTCAATACGTCAATAAAATTCTAAATTTTATTTAAAAGAAATGAGAAATGCCAATAATGCACTTTAACGCCATCTAGATTCAAATTATATAACTATAACTTTGAATAAATCTTCATACTAACTTTCAACCATTATTTAACCCCTTCAAATGATATTTTTTCAACAAAAAATAGCCTATTTTATTCTCCTAGGTCTAAACTATCTCTATACCCAAATTTATCAAATTTGGTTCAATGGTTTTATGTAAAACCGTAACAAACAAACATATAATCACATATTCACATTTAATATATTACTCACTATATGCTTTCAATAATATTGATTGATAGTTTAACTTATGATGAAATTTACTTAAATATTTCTCTTCATTTAAACTTTTTGTCTCTTCAAGGTTCTATTTATAAACATTGATTGAAAATCAATTTCATTACGCTTGAGTACTCCCGGAAGTTTTTGATCCAATAACTTAACCTCAACATTAATTAATGTTTTTACTTTAAGAACTTTAATTGTTTCACATAGTTTTGAAGATGTTTACTTATACTTTTGTATATTAAAAAAACGTGTGAATATTTAAGTCTGCATAATTTGAATTCAATCTAAACATTATTAACATATTTAATTTTTAATTTAGGTGTAGTAAGTTGTAAGCTTGACCTTCAGTAATTGAATATTATATTTTGGTAACTGTATGAGATGAAGCGAGATAACTTTTTTACTATATTCGTAAATACAAGAAGCGTTCAAGTACATTTTGCAATAGAATTTAAATCCAACGCAGTTTTGGTATATAAACTCAACGAATCGCTTTGATAATCATCCAGTCTCTTGCTATCTTTCTAACAAAGACCAACAAACAACCAAAAACATTCAACATGTTCAAATTCGTAAGTTTTCAACATTTTTATTATATGTTCATGTTTTTAATATTATTATGGTAATTATTTAGGTTGTTCTCGCTGCCATCGTTGCCGTTGCTGCCGCCGCTCCCGGCCACTTGATCGCCGCCCCCGTGGTTGCCCACGCTGTGTCCACCAGCCATCAATCATCCTCTGTGGTGCACCACGCTACCCCAGTGGTTAGGACCCATGTGGTTGCTGCCCCAGTAGTGCACGCCGTCCATGCTGCTCCAGTTGTACACGCCGCTCCAGTTGTCCACGCCGCCCCCGTGGTGCACCACGCCGTGCCAGTTGTCCGTAGCCACGTTGTTGCCCCCGTTCACGCTGTGCACGCCGTTCATGCCGCTCCTCTTGTTCATGTACATTAAGTTTGATTTGAATTAACGTTATTTGCTACTTGTATTATGCACAAATAGTTAAAATTTTGTAAAAATGTAATAAAATGATCAATTAGTTAAGTGTACTTATGAATATCTTTTTAATTTATTGCCCAATCTTACATAACCATAATTTTTTAGCATCATATAATCAAAAATGATTAAATCATCAAAATTCCATCATTTTACATATTAAATTTATGTAGATTAATATCTAAAGCAATATAAAACAAAGTTGCGTTAGTTACAGCGTGCATAACTCAAGAACGGCTGGTCAGATGTTGATGATCTATGGGTTATTAGATTAGCCTTTACCCCGAATAGGAGAATAACTATTAAAATAGGTAAAACTATGATTCAAAGGGTGTTAAACAAGGGATGAGAATTAGTGTGGTTTTTTATAGTAGTAATTGTTAAATAATTGAACTCAAGATGGCATTAATGTGTATTATTAGCATTTCTCATACCAATAATATTAAAATGAATTGCAACATCTGTGGGTAAGTGCATAACTCAACAACGCCTCGATGAATTTGGTCAATTCTTTTTTTTTAATGTTCGTTAAAGTCCAAGGAAGGTTTTTACGGCGAGAAAAATTCGAATAATTGCCGGGAAAACCTTTAAGACAGCCCTTTTCTATTGGATAAAAGTTGGCATTGAGATTCAATCATAGTTATAGTTAAATAGTTGAATCCGAGATGGCGCGCTGAAGTGCATTATTAGCAATTCTTTATATAATTAATTTCTTTAAAAGAAAATTACGAATCTTATTGATGAAATCAACACATACAGGATTTTGAAGAAGCAATTAAAAACAAATTACATTTTTATTAAACCCTCCAGAGAGTCCGTGTGGGCAAATGCAAATTATTCATATAATCGAATTGCATTAAACAGTTACCACAACCTAACCACTAATTAATATAGTTGATAATTTAATTGTTGACGTTAATAACCAATAATGTTTGTATAGTTTGTAGTGCGAGTCTAATTATCACTTGAATTATTTGCGCTTGATGCGAATAGCGCACTGAATAATTAAATTGCGATAACAGCACTTGGCGTATCATTAAATCACGAATCGCGAGTGAAAACCGCAACTCATGTCGTTCACCCGTATGTTAACAACTTTTGATATGCGCGCTGAAGTTTGCCGGGTTGCATTTTGCACGTTTTGCGCGTTTTCGAGCGACTCAAAACTCATTTGCATAATTCTACACTTTGCGACACTCTGCAAAACCTTCAAACCTTGTCAGTGTGTCAACTGCATCAAGTTGATATTTGTCACAATATATCATCTTTATCTTTATGGTAAAATAAGTTTCTTTGTGAATTTTCTTATCAATGTGTAAATGGAATTGATTTAACTGTTGAAATCTGATTTTGCAGGTTCTAGGACCTTGTTAATGTCATATTACATTGAATTTAGTATTGTATAAGTTCCAGGCAATGCTATATTGCGTTAGTTGTCGTTTTTGGGATAAATTGTGAAATATAACCTCAATTTTTCTTAAGAATTAAATTATTTGGATTTTATCACTTCCAAATGGCATATTACATTGAATTTAGGATTGTATATGTTCTAGGCAATGTTAGATGGCGCTAGTTTTCGTTTTTTGTGACAAATTGTGAAATATAACCTCATTTTTTTTAAGAAATAAATTATTTGGAACTGATTACTTATTTTAATACTTATTTCACTTATCTGGCTGAAAAAATTAGGCGCATAAAGAATATGTTATTATAATTTGTTAATATTTTGTAAAATAAATGTTAAACTAATTTTGTTTTTGATTCAAAATCATTTTGTTTGTCTTTTGACTTAAACTTTTGCCTAGATGAGATTGTAACTTAATATCAATTTATATTCTCTATGAAGGTGATTTATTAAATATGCAGCTGTTGCAAAAGCCACAACTTTGCAATTCTTTGGTGTTGTTGTGTTGTTTGACTTCGGAATCAAGTTCAAGACCATCCGGTCGCCGAAACCGTGGCGCGAATGCGAATGCGAAAAAAACAATATCGCATCAGGACGATATTGACACTGGGGACATGACGTACTATACCGCCACCACCTTCCAGCATCCACATAAAAACCGGGACGTTTTCAAATCCGCAAACAGTCAAAATTTGCTCAGCATCAAGCAAAATATCCAAAAAAACAAACAAAAAAACAAACTTAAAAATGTTCAAACTTGTAAGTTGATTTTCCCTTTGCTGTAATATTAAACAAGCAATATAATTTTAAATTTGTATGCAGGTTGTACTTTTTGCTGTTGTTGCCTGCGCTGCCGCCGCCCCCGGCCACTTGGTAGCTACTCCATTGTTGGCAACTCACTTGGTAGCCACCAGCCATCAATCGGTGGTGCAGCACCATACGCCGGTCGTTAAGACCGCCGTTGTGGCACCGGCGATTGCTGTGCACGCCGCCCCCGTGGTCCATGCTGCTCCAATCGTGCATGCCGCTCCCGTCGTGCCCGTTGTGCATGCGGCTCCGCTCGTAAAAACGCACTCGGCTGCTGTGCTCGTGCATTGAACGCGATTTTTGATTGATTGTATCGCATTTGCATATTTTAATTTTACAATATTAAGACCATATTTATTCTTAGACTAAAATGGAAATATACACACAGAAAACACACATTATATATATGAATTTATTATTAAATAAATATATAAAAAGTAAACACAAGGAAATTCTTATTTATTGACGTGATAACGTCTTTAAAATCGTTTTATTGGGTGACTGTTCAGAAACAGTGTCACGAGCGAGGTCGATCGCAGGTATACCCCCCTCTCGTTATAACGAGAGAGAGACGGACCGATCTCCCGTCTCATCTCGAGCGCTGCCAGTCATTCCGTGCCAGTCATAGCGTTCGAGTGAGTTGACCGATCTTCCGTCTCTCTCACTCAAACGAATGGAGATTTTCTCGTGCGGTTAAGTTTTCGTTGAATGTTTTATCGGCCGATAAAAAGTTTGTACTCGTAGTGTGCGGGGAGCCTAACAGTAAAACAAAATGTGAAGTGCAAGTGAAGTGTTACAACAATTGCAACAAACAAAACTTATATCACCAATAAGACGTTATCACGTAAACATCTCGATCGTAAACCTACTTTACAAACAACCATTTTTTTTTTATTTTAGTGTGTTGAATTGTTATTATTTGATGTAGTTGAATATATGTTTAAGGAACATAACCAAAATTTATGCTAAAAACTTATTTTTGTAAATATTGACGCAAAATGTAATAAAATATACCTAAAAGGCTCAAAAATTAATATTTAAAAGTTAATTTTTAATTTTGTGTTTTGATAGGTTTTGTGCGGCACCGTAGGCCACTGCGCAGGCGCACACTCCACCCTGTTACTAAAACCTGTGACTAAAGTCCATGTTAAAAGTACCACTTTTTCTGTCTCAAAACCGTGAAAAAGCTGGCGATTTTAAAGTAAAAGTAGAAAAAAATACATTAACACCCAATTTTAGGCTAGAAATGTATTTTTCACAAATTCTCATTTTCGTAATTATTTAATTTTTTATGTTTTCTTTACTTTAAGTAAATTAAGTAAATAAATAATCTAATTTGTTTTAATTTGAAGCGATAAAATAAATCAAAAAAAGTTTTTAATTCTTAATCAATATTTGATAGTATTTTATAAATTGAAAGCGTAGTTATAATTTTACCAAATATTTTTTTAGCAAAAATTAGAACAAAATCATTTCTAAGCAAAAAAAACTATCGCACACTTGATTAATGGATTCCGTTGTACAACCTTCATTCCGAATCCAAAAACTACGCTTAAAACTGTTCGTAGCTGGCAATAGCAGTGAAATTGCAGCGGCAATAAATATTCATGAGTTTCATCACTCATTCAAAATCTCGATTCGTTTATAATCTCAAACCTCGGCGTATCGATTCTGCCATATCGGTAGATGTAGGATAAGTTTGCGAACAAGTCAAGTCAAACGGTGATATTGACATCGACTTCGACATCATAAAACTCGACGTGGACGACCTTCTCATTTCTCATCGCCCGCTTAGAGACCCTCAAGATTTGTGTGTATTGAGCCAAAGCGGCAGCGGACTCAAGTGCATCGAGGATGACGAAATGCGCATTAATACATACGAGTACTACTCTTTCAGTGCGGCTGAGCCACAAGTTCATGAACGCCCGGCGTGAAGAACTCGGTATATAAGCGGTTGGTCCACGAGGAGACAACATTGTGAATTCAAACATTCATACCAACCACATCTTGGTCTACAGAACCGAAAACAAAACAAAAAAATCAAAATGTTCAAGTTTGTCGTAAGTTACAACAAATTTATCATTTTACTCAAAAAATGATTAATAAATATTAATTTTTAATTTTTAGGTTGTCTTTGCCACCATTGTTGCTTTTGCCCATGCTGGTCTGATCGCCGCCCCCGTCTTGGCCACTCATTCCGTAGCCACCAGCCATCAATCAGTTGTACAACACCATAGCCCAGTAGTAAAGACTGTTGTTGCTCCAGTGGTCCACGCTGCACCAGTTGTACCAGTCTTGCGCGCCGCCCCCGTTGTCCACACTGTCCACGCTGCCCCAGTCGTACACACCGTTCATGCCGCCCCAGTGGTTCACACTGTTCACGCCGCTCCTCTGCTTAAATCCGCCGTCTTGGTTCACTAATTCGACACCGACAGATCTCACTGTATCATAATGTATACTTTTTGAAATAAACTTATTTATATCTCAAACATAACCTAAATGTATAACCTAAAAATGTTTTGTGGTTGTATTATGGTAATGAGCTATTAGTATTTAGTGAAATATTATTAGACAAGCTAATTAATTAGTTTCCGGCGGAATTGTCTTCTAATCTAGTCACGGCACACGTGCTAAGGAGTTAAGCCATCGCTCATCCGCGCTTTCGAGTGTGTCTAATCTCACAGTCGACGATACAACCAAAGGGTTGGTTTGATCGACTTACCCCAAGCTGCTCCAAGCGCACAATACTCCACTTCAACACGAAAACCGCTTTATTAATGCTTACTTAGCGAACCGCAGATATCGCATATGCAAATTGTTGCCTACGTTTACGTTGTCAAAGTATATTACAACATTATATACAGTTTAAATTAAAAAAAAATTAAACTTATTTAACTTGCATCTAATAATTCAAATGTGTGTTTAAAACTTGATTTTACATTTTTAAAATGTTTTTTGTTTAAATTAATTTTTACACTGGAACACTCTGTATATTACTAAAATATCTTGTTGTAAGGTTGTTCCCTTACATTATGCGCCCCGCTGTAGTAACATTATTACCACTACACTAGCGAAATGTTGTGGTAGAACGCTAAAGCCGCAGCAATAACAGCAAAATATTCACCCACTGTGTTTTCAAACATTTGCAACGATTCCACAATTCCGACGTTGCTTTTCCACAGTCTGAAGTCTCAAGGTCCGCCAAAATAAATAAACAATTTTCATGAATCTATTCAAACTTAAACTTGACAAAAAAGGTTATAATGCCTATTAAATAACAGTGCGTAACTGGTTGCATACAGTTTATGTTTTTAAAGTTTCTTAAGGGGGTATTCTACTCTAGAGGCATGAAAGGCCGTAAAAAAAATCAATTAATATTTTTACTATCCATTTTTTTTAACACTTATTTATTAATGTTTTGAGAATACAAAAAAAAAAATAAAAACTGAAAAAATTGGCACGTGACCGTACCCATGATTTTAGCCCTCCAAGTGATCTGAATTAATCTAGAATAATTAATTATTAATCTAGAAGAATGTCGCAATCATATGAACTACGGACAAGTGAAAAAAAAAGTTTTTCACAAAATGGCGACTGTTTGAAAAAATAGTGATTTTTTTACCCTTATTTTTTGATATTCTAGATTTTTTTTGGAATATTTAAAATCGGAATTTGGGGGTAAGCGTAGTTCATTTTAAAGAAAAGTCTATAAAGAAGACTCTGTACATTTCAAGTAAATCGGTTCAGTAGAAGTTGAGAAATCGTGGGTACCGTCTCGAAAAATACAGTTTCGAGAAAAACACGTTTAAAGTTTCGCGTCAATGCGAACCAGTATGGATGCCGCGTCACCAAAACGGCTATATCTCGGAAAATAATTTAAATTTTGACAAATCCTCTTGTACACGTATTCTTGAATAGTTAAACTTTGAAAATATCAAAGAAAAAAAATTCGATTTTTTTGAAACCTCTAGAGTAGAATACCCCCTTAAATTGACTTCTATTCAATCTTGTATCGTTTTTTGACAAACCTATACAAAAATAAACAATTTTGGATTTACTAAACTTGACATAAAAGGTTATAATGTCTATTAAATATCTTTGCGTAACTGGTTGCATACAGTTTATGTTTTTAAACTTTCCTAAAATGACTTCTATTCAAACTTGTATCGTTTTTTAACAAGCCTAAACAAACAATAAACAATTTTGAATCCAGCCGACTAACGATGGCCTTCTTGGTCCTGCATAACCTTCAGAAGATGTTTGCCTGAAGCGAAAAACTCTTTCAGAGTGTTTTTCGGTGGTTAAAAACAACCTTCATCTTTTCTTTTGACGTACATCGACTGGTAAGGCCTATACGAGGCTTGAATGTCCTCGTCGATGACGATCTGACCATCACCGAAGGAAACAACTCATCAATCAGGCGATAAGTTCTTGCAAAAATATGGAAAAAATAATCATTAATCATCCGATGAGGCGCAAATCGTCGACTGGTAAAATTGCCGTCGATTATCCGTGCGAATTCATAAATTTTCGTGCATTTCGTAATGATTCATTAAACGTTTAACAATTATTTATCAATACGTGAGATGAAAAACAACTTTGACACGTCTACACAACGATAATAAGTAATTATAAAAAAAATAAATAAAAATTTTGTGTCTTTTGTAAGTGGAATTGAATTGGATGAAATTTTATGAATAAATTGGCGACGTTTATTGCCCGACTGGCGCCTAATTTGACGTACGAGGTGAAATTTTATTGTGAAATTCGTTTTCAACTTATGCACCGCACCGGTCGTCGTCCCTGAAGTTTTCTTGCCAGCACGGCTTTTGACTTTGCGGAGCACAGTGTGGAATTAATTAAATTTCGCTTCGGCGTTACGTAAATTGCTTCTCGTTCGTTGTTCGTTTATTTGCCAAGTCATGCAGTTGTATTTGCAATTATAAGATTACTTCTTGTACCACACAAGTTATTTTTTCTTTGTTTGTATGCAACCCAAACTGCTATCAGTATAATTACAATTTTTATTCATATAAATTAGGTTATGTTATGTTTGGATTTTTTTAAAAGCGAATAAATAATCTTAAGTAATGTGAGACACGCTTAACACCAAAGTTGTGAATAATTACGACAGCGACAGATGTGTCAAGCGACACATGTTGTTTACATTTTGTTCGATAATTCGGTAAGGTGAACCTGTTTTCGTCGTCGCGTCGCACGCAACGCTGGCTGCATCCTTGATTAAACAACGCCGAAATCGATAAGTATTCGCGATTTGTAAAACAGCAAATTATCTCGCGTGTTTTACACAAATCCAGCAAGATGCAAAACGCAACCCATTAAAATCTTGAGTGGAATGGGAACAAGTTCGAAATTTGTATAAAAAGCAATCACTGACAAGAAGTATTATCAGTTCAAGTTTGACTAAAGTCCAAACAAGTTCTAAACTTCCACTAAAAACTTTCAACATGTTCAAATTGGTAAGTTTTCAATTACAACAAAAAAAAATTAATAAAAATTATTATTTTATTAATGAATATTTTGATTAGATTGTATTGTCCGCCATCTTGGCTATCGCCGCTGCCGCTCCAGGAGGCATTGTGACTCATACAGTCTCCAGCCATGGTAATGTGGTAGCCCACCCACAACCACTTGTCCACGCCGCCCCCGTGGTTCATGCCGCGCCTGTTGTTCATGCCGTGCATGCTGTACCAGTGGTGCATCACGCTCCTGTGGTCAAAACCGTGCATCACGCCTCTGTTCTTCACGCCGCCCCAATTGTACATGCGCCTGTTGCACACAGCGTTCTTATTCATTAAATTTAACGGTTAATTTATTGTGATTTTTTGATTTTTAAGTAATGAAATAAATTATTACTAAATATATTACTAATTTTTATTTTATTTTCTTAAAATTTTGTAGTGAAATATTGAGATAATAATGCAGTTTTATTCAAATTCACAGAGTTGTGTTAGTTAGAACATTTCTAACTCAAAAACTGATGGACAAATTTTGATGGTAAATGATTTGTTGGATCTGTTTTTATTCTGAGTAGCAGAATAACTATTAAAATATCAAAAATATATGATTAAAGAGTGTTAAATTAAGGATGAAAATTGGTACCTATAGAGCTTCAATTATAGTTATTGTGAAATAATTAATTCAGAGATGGCGGTAAAGTGCATTATTAGGTATTGAATTATGAATAAAATCGATACATACTAAATCGGGAACGAAAAAGTAAAAATATATAATATAAATAATATATAATTACTGTATAGCGTACAGTAAGTGTTTACTTAACTTTACTTAAAAAAAGTAAAAATTAATTTAATTTTTATTAAAAACTACGAAGATGAAGTCTCGCGCAAAAGCAAGTTTTAGATAAAAGATGACAATGCACTTGATAATGTCATTGACCTTCTACTTTACCACTTGCTGAATATATCAGATATCGGATGCTTGATAAGAGTTTGTTTTCGTTCTCGACATTAGCTAAGAAACTTGAGATTTTCTACGAAATTGAAAATAAAATCCTTTTTTATTTTGTTAAATAAATCATAAAATATGCATACGCATTTATTTATCCAACGTTTATATTTATCAAAATGTAAATGATTTATAGTGTTATAAATAACGTTTTATTATCAATACGCCGAGAACAAGGGAGCTTCATCAATAATTCGCTTGTTTAATATTGGATGTTCCAATGCGCTGTTTACTATTTGTTGTTTGTGTCGTTTATTACCGAAACAGAGAGTAAAAGCAATAGCAAAGCAATAAATATCGGAAGCAAGTGTTTTAGCACGTCACGAACAGACTGAACTGCGCGAAGAGCGTGTTTTAATTGATGAAAACCCAACAGAATGGTTGAAAATGGAAAAAGCGTCGCAAATTAGACCCGAGACTTGAGCTTGCAATAGAGACAAGAAGAGACGCGGCAGGACGAAACACGCAACGAGTCCACACGACGAAGGATAAGTGCCTGCGTGTAGCAACTCAAGTAGACGGTTTATTGTCTTTTCCGACCAAGCAAAAAACTCATCAATTCTTAGTGTACAAATAACAAGAAAATAAGCCACAAAAACAAATTAACTACTTGCAGTATTACCACATTGTCTTAACTTAAACAACAAAGATTTAAAAACAAAAAAATGTAATAAATATTCATATATTTAACTAGTTTTTGACCGCGATTTCGTCCCGGTAGTGTTTAATAAAAATGTAATTCGTTTTTATTCTCTTGTTCTAGACATTGCTAATAATTGCTAATAATGCACTTCAGCGCGCCATCTCGGATTCAACTATTTAACTATAACTATGATTAAATCTCAATGCCAACTTTTATCCTTTAGAAAAGGGCTGTCTTTAGGGTTTTCCCGGTAATTATTCCAATTTTTCTTGCCGTAAAAACCATCCTTGGACTTTAACGAACATTTAAAAAAAGAATAAACCAAATTGGTCGAGGCGTTGTTGAGTTATGCGCTTACCAACAGATTTTCCGCTTCATTTTAATATTATAGATAAGCTAGATTAGAATTATGATGGTGGCGCCCTCACATTACGTAATCAATAACTATACCACAGTTTTCAATTAGGTAGGCAACTTTATTTTCTTCTTCAATATTGAATTTACTATTACTCTTTTTGTATGAAAAGAAAAACATTTATTGAGATAAATGAGTCGGTAAACGAAATGTTTAACTGCACATTTCAGCGACATGTTCTGCTGTTTTTCACTTGTTTTCGTTTTTTCATCTGACCGCAAGAAAATTAGTGCTCGTAGACGGACGTCGGACGGCTGGAAAGCACTAAAACTAAACGAAAAAAGACCCCGGACACAACTCATCAATCAAAGCATGAGGAACTTCATCGCGACTGAAACCGCCCGGATTTATTTACTCGGAAAGTGCGCCGATAAAAACCCCGCCACGGCGACAACGGAGTTTTCACATAGATTTAATAAATCTCACGCGCGCTCGCAAGTCACAAAATATCGTGAATAAAACATAAAGTGCGTTCGTTCGCCTTTTACGCTTGTTGTTAAATATTTTCTTCAACTCTCCAACACGAGGTTTAGTCATAAGCAATTTCTTAAATTGCATATGGTGTTTGTATGCACAAATTGTTTTATATTTTTCCTTTATTTTTGCTTTGGGAAACTTTACACGCTTGCAGGTTCGCTATAAAGTTGTAAATTTAAGTGCAAATTGTGACTTTTATTCGTGGTAAGAACGTGCTCGGTATCTACACCCCCAATCTCTTCTCACACACCACCACCCAACATACTAGTTGTTTCGTTCGTTGGTTCGTTGGCGAGCTCTGCCGGACTGGTTTTAACTTATAACATCAAAAATAATGGCCGCTCATAACAGTAAATCAAAATTTATTAGTTCAACCATAGTCGCTGTTGACTTGATTTTTTCCCGAATTAATATCTCAACGAAAAGAAGAAGACAATAGCGGAAAACTTCTTCGATTCAATTGAATCCACACACATAAATATATTGAGTTATTAGACACTTATTGCTAAAATTTCAGCTTACCTATCCAATGAAACAGCAATGAGACTGTAGACGGAGGCGGCAACTGAGACTCCCTGAATGTACGGAACAGTCTTGCACATCAGCCAGCCAAGAACCCAAGCTGAAAGCAAAACAAACAGTATTGAATTACACCGAGTCAATTAGTCTCTCAGATCGTGTGCGCCAATCCTAAATTAAATTTCCAAGCGAAATTTAAAAGCGATCAGACTTAAATCGCCATCAAATGCAAATCAAACGATCATCCCATCTGTCGCCATCTATAATCTTTATAGTAAAACACATAAAATACTTTAAGAGTGCATTTTATGACATGCATTAGTAAAATACCCGAATTTTTATTAAGTTAGGTTATGTTGAAGTGAATCACGATGGTAGATTAAATAGTCTGACACTTAACATGTTTGAATGTTGAACAAAGCGGAGTTCTTTCGGCGTTAACAATGGGGGTGTTAATGGAATATCTCTCTCGTTATTGAGTGCCCCTTAACCTTTGCGCGACAAAGCACAATCTGCGAAATTAAAGCAGACGCGTGTGGGTGTGCTGGGGAACTATGCGAGACGCTCGCTGCAACCACCTTTCGTTAAAACGCCCCGAAACTTTTCAAGGTTTTCAAGTATGCAATCTTCGCCTATTTATCGGCGCGTCTTCGCCTTGACAGCGGATGCAAAGCCGCGTGGAGCACGAATGTTGAATGCCCTTGCAGCCGGAAACGAAATAGGCCCTCGCGATCGAAGTGATCCGCTTTGTGGAACAATTCCACGCGCTTACCCTCGAAATGGTAATGATTGCGAGCGGGCAGAGGCTGAGATTGCGGGTCAAGTTCGTGCACATCAATTTTACCCCCCACCCCTGCGACTGGGTAGTATTAATTGCTTTTTGTGTGGCCTTAGAAGTTTGGATGATAGCGGGATGAAAAAATGTTGCACGTACGCGTGTTTAGTATTATTATTATGTTGATACTACGCGAGATACAAGTCAAGTGGGGAAAGACGGAAAATGCCCGCGGGTTGTGTGTGGTAATAATGTGGGCGCTTTGTGTCGTCAACGAAGGCCAAGGTTTTGCGTCGTCATCAGGCGATTGTTTATATCGACGCCATCTTGGCTCACATAGTTTTATGTGTGTGTGTGTGTGGGTGGGTGTGTGTCACGTTTGAATACAGTTACAGGGAGCAGGTGAAACTGCAGGAGCAAGCACAGCTGCATTCTCATTAAGGCTTTTCTCATTTTTCCTTTCTTCTCGTGGCCCTTGAGGCGTGACTGGTGCTCCGTGCTTTTTTCCAAAGGTTTTCAGTCTACAACTTTCTATACTTCAATCGGTTTTTTTTTTCTCTTTTCATTCTTACTTTATTTTTTTAGTTGTACACTACTCAGACTCATAGTTTTTTTGGTGCAGTATTTTTCAATCACGTTTTTCTTAGAATTTACTTGTAATAACAATTCGCGTTTTAATTTAGATAAGTGATGCTTTGAACTGGTATTATTGCGTCAATAAGGGTTTATTTTAAAATAAATCGGTTAGTGGTTATTTAACGACAGAAACTCATCAGAGGAATGTGTTTTGTACTATTAACACTAGGTAGATCATAAAACTTTCTTTGCTTCTGGTAATTGCAATGTTAATTTGTGAAAAATAACAAATTTTAGAGTTGCCAAAATAAATATAGAGCAGCAAATACTTTACTACATTATAATCAACGTAAGTACCAGCTGCCTCCTGCAATTAAATTAAATGTGATGCTTTCTGTCATACTTCGATTGTCTCAACCGGTTTACGATACCACAGGGTGCATAGAGAAGTAAACATGAAGCCTGAAACTCTGCGACTGGACTGTTGGACAACTCAGGTACTACTGAGCACGGCGCGCACTGCGCGCTGACGTTTTATGCCTGCAGCGACCCGCAAAAAGTGGTGGGGGGTATGTTACTGTTTTGAGCTGTACGCGCGCGATGCTGCGCTGTAATGAATAACAAAATCTGTTGGTAAGCGCATAACACAACAACGCCTAGACCAATTTGGCCAATTATTTTTTTTAAATGTTCGTTTAAGTCCAAGGATGGTTTTTACGGCGAGAAAATTTTAAATAAAATAACCCAAAAGGCTGTCTTTTCTATTGGATAAAAGTTGACATTGAGATTTAATCATAGTTGTAGTTAAATAGTTGAAGCCGAGATGGCGCACTCAAGTGCATTATTAGCAATTCTTTATATAATTAATTTCTTTAAAATAAAATTGCAAAACTTATTGATAGAATTGACACATACTATGTCTAAAACAAGAGAATAAAAACGAATTACATTTTTATTAAGCGCTAGCATTAGAATAGATAAATAAATATTACAAACAAATAACATATAAATTAGATCTCTTGTAAGTTATTTTTACTTTAAATTGTTAGTAATGGACACAATCTCCCTTTATAAAGCTGGCGTTGTTTTTTAGACGTCACTTTAAGTGCAACGATTAACGAACATTGTGAATGTAGATTGAAGGATGCTTCCTCCTAAATGCGGGAATCAATTTATCTCCGGAAGAATGTCTAAGGCTTAAAGGCACCCCTGCCATTAATAATTTAAAGATTCAACAACTCGACAGAAGCTAAAAAAACCGCTATAAATTAATTATTTTAAATTAATTTATCTATGTAGGTACCATTATAAAATTAGTCCATAAATAACTAGCAGTGTAATATTTTGATGCAAAAACCACCGAAGCATATGTAGCTTGATGGCGCATAATCAATCCAAGCACATCATCTGGTTTTTCGGGGTGGAAAGCATCACCGTTAACTAACAATTTTCCGCTGTAACCGAGTGGAATTCAAAGGGACAAGGTTAAAGCAATTTATAAGCTTTTAACCTTGAATTTGGTCTTCTTCTTTTTCTCGCCTTCCCTCATTACATCGTGTGCTGTGTGCTGCATATATCAATGGCTACTTTGCTACTTTTCCCCATGAACAAAACGCTGATGTCGACGCCGACGAGATGAACACATTAACCATGGTGAGTGAAAAGTGGACGCGGGCGACGCCCGTCGCCTGTGTTAATAATAAATTGCAACCGGCTAATATCTATCAATCCACGAGCGCAGAGCAGGCTGGAACAATGTGCGCCCGCAGTCAACGAAGATCCAAAAATAAGTGGATCGTCGCGGAACGTCGCTCATAATTAATCATCATCAATGCGAGTTAATGTCATCTACGACCACCACGACAACGTCGATGTTATTAGTGCCTTTTTTCGATGTGCTTTAATGTGGTGGCATCGGTCGGGGAATCTGATTGTGCCGCTTGATGACCGAGTTAACATTGAACTAGTGACACAATGAGAACTCATTCATTATGAATGCTATTATTATGTTATAAAATGAATATTGACATTGTTTTTACAGCAAAAAACAACATTACCTTTAAAATTTATTACAGTAAAGTCAGGAAATGTTGTTTTAAATTTTTTATTTATTTAGTTTTAATGTTAAAATGGAATAAATGTAAAAAATTGATATATTTGAAAGAATATTAAATATAGAGTTAACCCAGCGGCATGGTTACTTCTTGATTCAGCTGTCAAATCATAAAGTATATTATGAATTTTAATTGTGTTAAAAAACATGAAACCATTAAAAAATGTGGGAATATTTTGTGATTTCTATTTTATTTCATAGTTATGTGCTGGCAGCAGTGTATTCTGGGTTGCATACCAACATCAAATCTATAATATAGAAATTAATTGCAAAATATGTTGGTAAGCGCATAGCTCAACAACGCCTAGACCTATTTGGCCAATTCTTTTTTTAAATGTTTGTTAAGGTCCATGGATGGTTCGTATAATTGCCGGGAAAACCCTAAAAACAGCTCTTTTTATAGGATAAAAATTGGAATTGAAATTCAATCATAGGTATAGTTAAATAGTTGAATCCGAGATGGCACGCTGAAGTGCAGTATTAGCAATTCTTTATATAATTAATTTCTTTAAAATAAAATTGCGAATCTTATTGATTGAATTGACACATACTATGTCTAGAACAGGAGAGAAAAAACAAATTACATTTTTATTAAACACTACCGGGACGAAGTCATAGGTATAAGCTAGTATTATAATAATATCACATGACAACTTTTTCAAAACATGTTTTTTTCAATTTTATTGAGTTTATTTTGAATATATTAATTGAGAAATGCTCCAAAATAAATAATTTTAATTATTTTTGTCAATCATGCGTTAGTAAAATAAATAAAATATTATTCTCGTGAAAATATGCTCCAAAAATCACATTTCACAAAAAGTCAAATTAATAATTGAATTGAAAGCATTTCGTAATTAATAAAATAAATGTTATACAGGCAGCATGTAAATCCGAGAGAAAATATTCCGGGAATGAGAGATTACCGGCATCGCCGAGTTATGAATAGATCGAGCGTTGATGCATGCCCGGAATACAAAATTGCGCAGCGCAAAAATAGCCGAGGAATCCCCGCAAAATTGATTTCCGCCGTCCCGGGATATGCTTTCAATCCCGTTCGGTGCGTTTTATTAAATTTACCTATTGATGGAATACCTGAGACTCAGAAAATGCGACGGAAATAACACTTGTAAAATGCAAATACAATCAAATCACATCAGACATTTTGTTTGAGGTTAGATTTCATGTGTATGCGTGTCAAATTTATCCAATCGTCGTAATTATGGCATTTTGCTAGCGATTGTGTAGCCTGCACGCGATCCGAGCAGTGTGATATTGAAAACAATAAAGGGTCGCATGGTTTCGTGCCACGTTTTACGTTTAACTTCAACTTGTTCAGGCCAGGTTTGAGTACCACCGGTCAATAGTCCGACTGAAATGACGGAATCAGCTGATGAATGCAATTTCAAGTGTACGCGGAGAGGCGGCGTGCCGTTCGCAGCGCGGCACTCGGCGGCGGCGGCGGCGGCGGCACGTGAGCAGGCCACTTTGACCCAGGTCAAACCAAAGTGGGTCAACGAGTGCGCGCCTGGGTCGGGGCGTTGAACCAAACTGCGCGTACTAGTACTATACTCGCGTATATTCAGAATTTTCAAAATAAGAAATAAAATTTAACCAAAAACAAAAAATTCAGCAAAAA